TCTCAAGTCAAAGTATCTTGACACTTTGGTACCACCAGGGCCTCGGAGACATCATTCGCTCAAAGCACAAATCATACAGTTCCTTTCTTCCTTATCCCCAGGAATTTCATCCTACTGTGTGAACTGGATGTCTGCAGTATGACATTTATTGTAGGAGAATATCAGGGGCTCTTAGCCAACTCCCATACTAACAATGACATCAAGGATGACTTTGACATTCACGATGTTGTGCTTTCTCTGTTTGTGTCACTGTGGTGCTTGGAGGCAAGGAAACTAACATGGAAAATAGGACAATAAGAAGTTCAACTTCATTAAAGAGAATCCTCTCTTTTTAGGCTTCTTCTGTTTCAGGAGAAGGCAGTCTGAGGCCCAGGGCCTCAGATCCATTTTGGGGAGGGGTCTCTGCCTTACCATTCAACATGCAAGGGTGGTCTTCAGCTATAAGAAGGTTGCCCACCTCGATCTATAGAGGCAAAGTAAGCAGCCCGTCCTATTTTAGTCTCTAACTCACATTATTGTTAAGACGATTTTGGGTAGAGACTTAAGGCTGAAAGATGCTGATATGATGTTGAACTATATATAGAAAAGGACTTTGTACTTACTGAGCCTGGAGTGTAGCTAAAAGGATAATTTTGTATGGTTGGAAGAAAACAGCCATTCCAGGAGGTGTGGCAAGCGAGATAGAAGTTAGAAAGCTCAGATAGAAATCTTGGAAATTCGCCTCCCCCTTGATTGCACTAGAGATCCTGTTATGCAAGAGGACCTCTTTAAGGAGGAGCAAAAGCAAAACCAGACCGTTGAAATATAATAGTGCATTCTCTGTTGAAAGGGGAAATTTGTAGCAGTTAGACAGCTGATTTAAATCATATGATATGGTAAAAAGGTATCAAGTCTTGAGTGCGTTTTTTGCTGCAGCTGCTCAGGAAAAAAAAAAAAAAATTGATGAGAGAAGTGGTAGTAGAGCGAGGCTGCCCCCGTGTGGCCACATATGGCTATTGCAGGCATATTTTAAGCATTAAGGATCTCGTTTGTGATCATGGAAAAGGAAGTTCTGCATCCTGGGCTGAGGGTTAGTGGGAGATTGCCCTTTGATTGGCTTTACTATCCATTAAAAAAAGAATGTTTCCAGGTCAAAAAAAAAAAAGCTTTAGAAAATCTCAGCCTTCAGTTTTATTCCTTTGTTTGCTCATTTACGGGAATGTAAATCCATAATGATAACAGCCAGGTTGTTGGCGATGGAAAGAAAACTCAAAGGGGCAAAGAGGAGAGTCATCAGGTGACACTTGGGTGCCTTATATTGACCTTATTGTGGTGTTTGGACTGTTTTTTTTTTAAAAAAACAGACAACCAGGGTTGCTTATAATGTTTGCATTTGGGGATGGGGTGCTGCAGGAGGCAAGTGAAAAGAATCAAGATGGCGGGCAGGATTACACAGTTGAGACCTCATGGCTTGGCCCTTGCCTCTTGACATGCCTGGAGTTGGGTCAATTGCAAAGTCATGGTCTTTTTCAATTTTTGGGCCTCCCCTGCAGGCCCCCTGGTTTTGTGGAAATACAAAGGGCAAGGATGAGGAAGAAGGTGGAGGAAGCCTGGCCTATTCTTCAACACGGCTATAATTTACCATGAATGGAACAGAGCCTGGCGTGAATGCCTTCGGGCCCTAAAAGTCATCTTTCCCTCAGCTAATGCAAGCCAGCCATTTTTCCCTTGCTTCTTCCTGCTTTTGTGTTAACATTGGAATCCCTTTTTTTTTCCCCCTCACAGAGATTTGTTTTTAATTAGAAAATAGAGCTACGGTTCTTTGCACATCTCAGCAGACACACGCCTAAGCTGAAAACGTCTTTGCAGATAACCAAGTTGATTTCAAAGGAAACGGCTGAACTTTTCCTGTGTTTTTTTTTTTTTAGTTATAAACCACTGGACTTCTGGCTTCATGTCCAGTGTTTTTTGGGGGAAGAAGGTTCTTCCACCACCCTTCCCTGTCACCGACTGTTGCTTTAGAGACCTGGTTTCACTCAACACATGTCACCAGTTCAGTTAAAGGCCTTGTAACTCTATTGGCATCACAGGTTAAGCTTGGCTGGCGTTGATGTAATCAAAATGTGCTGGAGGAGGAGACCCCATAAAGGACTCACAGAGGCCTCTTTCATCTGTGGAATGCGGGTGGGAATTGGGTGGGCTAAGTGAACTTATTCCTCCTGTGAGCAGGGGTGCGCATTAATTTTGGCACGAATAAAAGCATTAAGCCAAGTGGGTCCGATTCAATCCCATTCTTCCTTGGTTTAAAAATAATTTAGAGACGAATGAGTCCGTGAATGAATGGGACTTCCAATCGGAATGTGCCACTGAAGGATTAGGACAGGTTGCAATGATAAATGCCAGTGGAATTTATTTTTTAACAGCCACCTAAGCAGAGGCATCTGTAGAGGGGGTCAAAGAGGTCAAGTTGGCAGTTGCAAATGTGTATTTGAAGTCCTATCCCCTTTTTACATGTGGTGTAATGCATGTAAAAAAGGACAAGGCTTGAATTGCATGACTGCAAACAGCCATCTTGGCTGTTTTGACACCTCCCCCCAAAGCAGGTACCCTTGCATTTAAACCATCATCTTGGTTTCCCCATTATAGGTGGATGTTTGAGGAGGAGAAATGTGCCTACCAGTGAAGGCCTGGTGAAGTGCCTTCCAGTAATTCTGTGTACTTACCAGCTGGTATGTGTAACCCAGGATGTCCCAGGAAGGCACAGCACTGGAGGATTCTGGGAGAAAAGCCTACATTGCTGCAGCTCCTGCCATAAGTGGCATTCGGAAAAGAGATGGGAAAAAAGCAGAAGGGACGAACGTGTGAATGGGAGTGGGGAGACACTACCTTAGAAATGAATGCAGCTTCAGATGATAACGAGAAGAAGGTAATTGCAATCAATGGAAGACAGTGCAAAAAAAAATCTTGCATACCATTCATGAATGGAGTGATCACAGAATCATATGGTGGGAAGGGGGTTGGTGGTCTTCTAATCCACCCCCCTGCCTGGTGCAGGAATCCTCATCCCATTCTGGATAAATGGCCCTCCAGTCTATTCTTGAAACCCTCCAGTGATGGCGCACCCACCACTTCAGGAGACAGGCTGTCCCACTGCTGAAGAGCTCTCACGGTCAGGGAATTCCTCCTGAGTTCAAGTTTGGAGATCTCACTGTGAAGCTTCTATCCATTGGTCCTTGTCTTACCCTTAAGTGCTAGGGAAAATAGATCTACTCCCTCTTCCCTGTGACCATCCTTCATGTATCAGGAGATGCTATCCCATCTGCCCTTAGCCATGTCTCCTTTAAGCTGAGAGATGCCGTGGGGGGAAAAAGACTGCCCACTCTGATGTGTGAATGTGGCCAATCCGTAGCATAGCTGTGCTGATCTGCCCCTGACAAGATAAGCCGTATCACCCACCTGGGGATCGCTCCAGACCCAAGCCAGTGGCTGCAAGGCAACCAGAATTCAGCTCTGGCAGGGAAACCATTAACACTGATGCAAAGAAGTAAGAAGAGATCAGCTACAAGGCAGTTCAGATTCACCCTTGCATCCAATCAGGACAGAACTAGAATTAATCTGCCCATTCTGAGCCTTGGAAATATGGCAGGTAAGAAGAGATTTGGCTGTTCATGCCCGCCCATGGACGAGAAGCAAATTAATGCAAATATTTACATCGGCACTCTGACTTTATTTCATTGATGTTGATTCTGAAGGGACAGGGGAAACACCACCCACACGGTTTAGAAGGGAGCATTAGTAAGTTGGATATGGAAAGTCTCCAAGAAAAAGGATTTGGTCCTAGGCCAAGGAAACAAAGATTCTGGGAATGAGGCGTTAACAGCCAGCATGGTAGAAAACAACCTTCATTCCTCCCCTAACTCTAGTGATACCATATCAGTGGAATGCAGAGCTGAGGAAGGCCACTAGTGAGGGTGTTAGAACCACAAATTCCATGCCAGCTTCTTAGATAGCCAGGAAAAAAGGGACCAAAAAGTTGTTTAAAAAAAGATACTGCACAGATATTTCAGATATTAGGAAGATGATGCTACCTGTGTATATCTTAGGAAAAGATGCATTCCTAAAGTCATTTGATCAAGAATGTTTTACGATTTGGAATAGCAAGTGGTGTTAGCTTCGTTCAGGCGTTCCTACATATCTGTCAAACATGAGATATGACCAATTAAGGAAATGCTAGGAGACCTCAGGCTATAGACATGTAACCTCTGTGAAATGGAACGCGTAGATTCGTCCAACTTGGAGGTAATTCAGATTAAACTGGGAAGCAAGTACTTTATAAGTCTTGGGATAGAAATATGCTGGTTTTTAGGACTGCAATGCTTTGGATCCAATTCCAGAAGGGTGCTTTGTAGGGTACGCACATGGAAAAGTAGTCCTTGTTGGCAGCTCTTGAAAGCAGCTGGGTGATCAGAAGAGAAGATGCAACTGCTTTAAAGAGATACAGACAGGAGTTATGTTTGCGCTTCTGTACACGCTATAGCACCTTTTTTCAAGTTATTTCCAAAATGGTGCACCACCTGATTAGTCCCTTGTGTGAATGCTGTGCCATGCTAAGTGGTGCAAGGTTCTGATACCATTTTTTGTCTGCTTTAACCTGTAATAGACTTTTGTTTTAGTTAGAGAGAGAGAGACCTTTTGCATCAGAAAACGATTTGAACATTATTACTGTGTGTGACTAAGACCCCAGGAGAATAATGTCAAGGGAAGTTTGACACTGTATTTCAAAACATTCCAAGTGTGTCGATAGCTTAGCTAAAACAGAGACATATTGGAAGGGGGATTCCTTAAATATAGAGTATTAATTCCCAATGAAGTCATGCAGGGGAGCTCTGGAGGAGGCAAATGCCAGCTAGCTGTAACAAAAATTGAAATCCCATCACAGCATGCTTTGAACAGATCCCCTGCTGGTTTACATCTAAGCCAAAATGCCACCATCAGCCATGTAAGAAGGGACCAGCCCTGGATTCAGTTTCAAGATTTTACTTCCATACTGTATCAAAACAAACAACATGTCCTTAACAGGCAGCCTCAGTCTTCCCTTTCTTCCATCTGCCGTAAAGGCATAAATAATACAAAGAGAATTGCATTTGTTATACAATCTACCATGGGAATTATTGGCATAATATATGTGCTTTGTGTTTATAAAAAGTGCAATATGAATGCCTACTGCTATTAGTCATATTGTAGACGTTAATAGTTGAATATATTATTCAATATATTTAATATGTTTATTAAATCTGTTCTATATATTTAAATATATTACGTGTATTCTGTATAGAGCCTTGCTCGGACAGGAGCAAAAGTGCAGAGTACAGGTATTATTTTCTGTGCGTTGGCTTGGATCCATAACAAACGTCTTGGCAATAACAGGACACCTCTCATTTAGTGCAGACTTGGAACGGAGCAGGGGAATCCTTTAGGCAGTACTTAGATGTAGTTGTGTCCTTTCCCTCTCCCCCCCTCAACCCTTTTATGTCTCCCTGAAAATGTGCTCCAGATGTTGAGGAACCCTCTGGAATATGAGGGGACAAGACTTCTTTGGGCCACCCAAAGAAAGCCCTGATCTCTCTCTGCCTCTCTTCCCACCAGCAGGAATGTTTGGAGTGATGCTGTACTCAAGGGCTATTCCCACTGGAGCAACCAATGCTAGAGCAGATCCAATGACCTGTTGTCTTAGATATACATCACGAAAAAATGATGACTGTTGGAGAACAGTTGTCTGATATGTAATCTTTTTGGCTCGAGTGCAAGATAGAGCTGTGTGAAGGCAAGCTATTCATTTGCTAGAATTCCCAAAGGCAAAGTACATATTTAGCCATTCTGCAATGTTAAGCCTCCTGTTATGAGATGTCTCATCCTCCATGTCAAATAGAGCATCTCCTCCAATGGCCACATTGATTCTGAAGAAGCAGACAACAGGTTCTCTCTCTTCTTGCAGTCCTGGCAGAATTTGGGACAGAGTGTAGGGCTGGTATTTTAGCCCAATGGTAACTCAGCTGACCCAAACCACGATCCATTTCCAATGAGAATCCTCAACTGACAGGAAGCTACCTGGGGGTTGGGTTTGGAAGCTAACCTGGCCATCTCTGTGACATCATCCCATTTTTCTAACCAAAAGGCTGAAAAGTGGATCAACAACAAAGTTGATCCACCCAATGGTATGAGTGAACCCATTGTTTGCAACTGATTACAATTTAGGAGAGTAAACTATGTATGGACAGAGAAAAGAAGGAAGAGGAGGTCATCACATCAGTGGCAGTCCTGCCCCATTTGTTTCTCTTTGCTGATTTTTGTACTGTCCCCTTGCAACCCAGAGATTACAAACCAAAGAAGGAATTTTAAAAGCAACATACACCTGTGTGCAAAGCACAGTTCCCCCTCTGAGTCCATCAGCCTCTCATAGCTCTACTAGGTTATCACTGGAAAGAACCTTGACAGTGATTTGACCTGGTACTGCTTCTGATTCCTGCTGGCCTCTGCCATGGAGCTGGTACTTCTGAAGATCCCGGGATTCACTGGGTGACCCAGACAGCCGTATTTCTCCCAGGAATCGGTCAAAAAAGGTGCTGTGCCAGACCTAAGGAGACAGGAAAGCAAAGACAAATCTGTTGCTGCTGTTACGTAAGGCCTTTCCATCTTCCTAGTTATAAGGTGTTGTCCAGGGCAAATGTCCTCCTCCAGGAGATCTCAGATCTTCAGGCTTTGCTCAGAGCTCACTCTGTTTTCCACATCCATTTGGCCAAATTCCCTGCAGCTGAAAAGCTGTTTTCTTAATAGTGTAGTTCAGTGTTTCTCAACTTTGGCAACTTGAAGATGTGTCGACTTCAACTCCCAGAATTCTGGGAGTTGAGGTCCATACATCTTCAAGCTGCCAAGGTTGAGAAACACTGGTGTAGTTAAATTTACTTAACTGCAGTGTAATAATGGCAATGACCTGCATCTAGCAGATGGAATTAGCCCTTGGATGGGAGACAAGATTTGAAAGTCAGAAGAACACCCCACAATGAAATGACACACCATTTCTGGATCAAGCCAAACAAATTGCACGGATATCTCCAGGGGGTTACTAGGAGTTGAGTCTTGGTGACCAGTGCTCTTACTATTATTAATCAGCTAGCAAGCTAGAAGCTTATTTCCCTAAGGAAAAGCTTGAGGATTTCCATATTCTTTCTGCATGTGAGCAGGTGGGAGAGAATTTCTGGTGAGAAGACAACCTGTAGGAAAAGGATTTTGAAGCCTTCCACTGCATTTTTCAGGACTAAAAAAAAAAAAATCTGAAAGACCATCTCATAACTGCATGCAGTGTATTATTCCAGCCCAAAGGGCATTCAGAGTGTCATTACTAATAAAAAAAAGTCTCTGTGGAGGAACTTGGCAGGCCTCCGCTCTATCTTCCACTTGTCAGCACCGCGGCTGCTGCCAGATTGTTCCTGGCAGATTTCCCTGAGTAAAAATACAACTGCATTTGCCTTTCACTTTGTAAAAATTCAGCAGTATTTAAACTTTAAATATTGGTGAGGGCTTCTAGGTAACTTTGGCTTATCATATTAATAAACCCTTCCGTCCTTAATCTTAAAAGAATTTGTAAGACTTTTGTCTTCTAAACAGGAAGAAAAGGACAAAGGAATAATAGGGAAAGAACAAAAGGAAAAAAGGAAGAGGAGGGGAAAGGAAAACAATTATACTGGAGTATCAATTCATTGTAGTTTATGGAACTTGGAACACTGAAGCCTACTCCAGACGTAATTCTGTATTGGCTATAATGTACTCAGCCATTATGGTTACATTCACACAGTACTCTTAACTTGGTTACTGAGCTAATCTATAAACTAAGCAAACAGACAAACATAATAAGACACACACACATGCACGGTAAGCAAATAAAACTTAGCAAATGTTAGCTACTGACATTCATGGCTGTCTGTTGGGAATGGCTAGTGACATCATATGCATCATGATATCATTATGATGTGAATCACAGAGTTGCATCAATGGAGCTTCCATTGATTCACCCTTTGAGAAGAAGCACCCCTACATGCTCAAGGCAGGTGGGAGTACCATAAAAACATCAGGAAGGAAAGCTAGAGTGTTCCAGATCAATCCATCAATGGCAGCATCAATGCAAGAATTAGTTTTCGCATGGTCAGAAGCAAACAACTAATATCAAATCTAGCCATTTCCAGAAGAAGGGGTAAATGAAAACTGGGCCTCCTGCCCACAAGAGGGGACCAAAAAGCTATTACATAGGTCAAGCAAAAAAAAAAAAAAAAAGCAGGTTTGAATATGGAATCTGTAAATAGGGCTTGCTCTTGAAACACAGCAGTCACTAGAATTCTTCCACTATGGCTTTCTAACTTTCCTTTGATATAACTACTTCTCAGAAGTTATTGGATTCTTGTAAACTTGTCTGATTGGCGGCTCTCCTGCTTGCTGGTTGAAGACTGCTGATTGGGTTGCTTCTGCCCACTTGGATAAAGTGTGATAACAAATTAGAAAAGAGAACAAATTCCACACTGATACTATATCATATTATCTCCCCTAGTAGCCAAGAGCAAAACATAGCCACTCCACTGAGACAAACGTAGGGAGAGCAGCCCATCCTTAAGGACCAAACATCTTGGGAAATGCCAGAAGATAAACACCCCTGACTCTACAGAATCCTCAGAGTGGTGCTAGTACATAAATTGCTTAATGATATGTGACCAAAGCAGCACAAATAAACGAAGAAATGTGTGTCATTTGCAAAATGACATCATAATGCATTTTGAGTTATTTCAGCGTCAGTGGCAGCTTGACTGAACACCCATGCAAATATTTGGAGTGAAATGGGGAAGGGGGTAGCAGCTAGAAACGGCTGTCTTTCAGCTGTAGCAATTATTATTACTACTGTTACTATTAAGTATATTTATCATCAGTTCCAGGTTCTTGGTTCTAAAGGAAATCATAAATAAACATGGCTGGATTTGGATCGTTAGAGATAATATGCCTTAGCTCTTATTTACTTGTTTATTAGATTTACATCTCTTCTTTTCCTAAAGAGGAATACACCCTCCTTCAGTTACAGGTTGTCCTCATTTAGTGGGGCCAGCAACTGAAGTGGTTGCTAAATAAAACCGCAACTCTGCTTACGATCTGACATCAGCTTACCTTTGCTTTACAGACCTGTGGAGGTCGTAAATGCGAGGATTGATTGCAAAGTTACTTTTTCATCACTGTTGTAACTGTGAACGGTTGCTAAATGAGGCAGTCACTAAACGAGGACTACCTGTATATCCCCCACAATAACCTTGTTGGGTAGGTTCAGTTGAGAGAGACTGACTGATCCTAAATCACCTATGTTTACAGGTCCAAGGCTAGATTTAAGCCTGGGTCCCTCCCTGCATATATCCCTACCCCCCCAGTCCTGCTCCAACTCTTTGTCCACTCCACCGTATTGGTATAAAATTAATACATATTATTAAGCACAAAAGTGATGCAGATACAAATCTCAGTAATTCTCTTACCTGGACAATAATAGGGCTGTCAACCTTCCTTCTGTAGAAAACAGCCTGGGTGTTGAAAACAGGATTCACAGTGTCTTTCTGGGTGGGAGACCGAACCTTGGAGTTCTCGCACTTAATTACTACATAAGGGTTGGCTTCTGAAAAGACACATCATTTGTGAACGCTCTTGGAGAATCTTGGTATTTACAAAACAATTACTTTACTTTCCACCTTATTCTTTTTTGGGGGGCAAAGGGCTATCCTGCAACTAACGTCTCCCTTATTCTATACATGAAGAAGAGGCAACGATGCAAGGAATTATAGAATTGCTGTCAGACCAAAGGAACCTTCATTTTCACAATCAAATCATAGGAGACTGTCCAGTTAATTTCCTGAGCAGATTGATTGATCCATTGTCATTAGTTCACACCGGCAGATTAAAATGAAACATGCCAGATTTGTTCCCTGGAGAAACAGTTATTCAAAGGGAGATCCTTGGACCAGCAGGCACATTGAGAATGTCGAGAGCGTGTTGTGGGGAATTGCACAAAATGGCTGCCATGGTGGAGCACAGCCATTCAGACAACCTACCTTCTATGTCCCACCCCCAGCTGTTCCTTTATCTTGCGAAGATTTCCGCGCATGTGTCGAGCATATGCCACAACTTCCGTGAATGTTTCCAGAGCTAATTAGAAGCTCTGAAACAAGCTTCGATGCTGATGTAGAAATCTCTTCTTCTTCTTGGAACCACTTCAGGAGTCCCCAGAAATAAAGCAAAGTGAAGCCACACAGCTGGATCACTTTGAGGAGGTGTGCCCAGCTCAGCTACATATTTAATCGTTTCTCCCTTCTGTTGCATTAAAAATGGAGAGGCTAAAAACCTATACTTAGACATATACAAGTGTTGCTTCAGCTCATGCAAATATTGGATTCAGCTGCAAGCAAAGTGTCTGTTGGGGCTTTTTGCAACAAAAAATAGACTTACTCTGTGTGTATCAATGGCTCGCTTGTCCTAAACCCAATTTGTGATTAGAACGCTCTGATTAAGCGTGTTGAGAGATTCAGCCCATGGTAATTGACATATGGTGATTAATATATGGTGATTCTCTGCCAACAATAACTAACTGCCTGCTTATATAATAACAGGGGTTTGTTTTAATCATAACCTGGGGGAGGATGCTGAAGAAATCATCAAGAGAGCCAGGAAAAAATCTCTTGCAAGTTGTGCTTTCTTTATGAAAAGTGGTCCAGAATATGGTCCAGAAAAGGGCTATTTTCACTTAATAAATTTAGTTCCAGAAATCTATATAATGAAAATAAGATAGATGTTCTCTGTAAATACTGAGATATGCCTTTACAGATAGAGCATAGAACAGTGTTTCTCAATCTTGGCAATTTTAAGATGCATGGACTTCAACTCCCAGAATTCTCCAACCAGCATGGCTGGCTGGGGAATTCTGGGAGTTGAAGTCCATGCATCTTAAAGTTGCCAAGGTTGAGAAAAACCGTTCTATGCTCTATCTGTAAAGGCATATCTCAGTATTTACAGAGAACATCTATCTTATTTTCATTATATAGATTTCTGGAACTAAAT